TCCATCAACCCCAGTTGCAATGAGAAGAGTTCCTTTATACTTCCCAGTAAGGAAAGTTCCATCAACCTGTTATGTATTGAATAATTAGTTAGTAAAATTTAACTTAGTAAGGTAATGAACTAGTACAATATTTTGAGTCCGTAATATACCTGAATCACTGGCATGCAGAAGGGAAACCCGTCAATGCATGGCTTGAATGTCCAGAACAGACGATGAAACATCAACTCGTTCTGTACTCGAACTTGATCTTCAGTTTGCACGTTGTTGTACCACGGCACGAAAACCGTCCCAGGGTTGGACTCCTCCATTGCGGACATTAGTCGAGGGAGTAAAGCATACGAGTCATCCCAATCACCGTAGACCTCAGCCATGGCCTTCTGCTTCCCATGCCACGCCTTCTTATACCTTATGGTGTAGGAATGTCGATCCTTCACCTCGGCCATAATAGCTTTTATCTTGATATCCGGTTGTGCCTCGATTAGGTGCTTAATGGTTCTCGCCACCTTTTTTGCTTTCAGTTGCCGGTGATCCTGTGAAAGTATGGTTGAGGAGCATCTGTGGTTGTTTTCTACTGTTCGCATGACCCAGACGCCCTTTCTCTTCATATATGCAGCCTGAAGTTGCCACTCACAACCCTCTCCAGCATTCTTACAAATGACATGCAATTGTTTGGTGTCAGAATATTTTACCTTCCATTCGAAGTTACGCCGCATGGCTTCTTCGCTAAAAGCATCTTGCACATCGGCTTTCGAAGTGAACGCCATACCCACTTCTAAAGGAGCAGTCGGATTATACACAGGCATGGGCGAATAGTCAGGGGCATCGTTCTGACCATATAAAAATTGATCAGGAACCTCTGTGTAGTAAGGCGTTGGTGCCTGACGGAACGCCACCTCTCTGTCATCGATATCGTCCGTATCTTCCTCCTCACTGACTGATCTCAAATCTTCCTCACTTTCATCGTCACTAGAGGCGAATGGATAGCTCGACTCAGGATGGTCATCGTTACCAGCATAACCAACATCGTCTTGTTGGTCATGCGAAGAACGCCCAGATCGAAGGGTGTTCTCAATGTCAGCCCACTCTGGACCCCAAGCAGGCCATTGATCACCGTCGGGCTGAACGATATTGACGGCAGTCTCAGCATGTTGCGGGTATTCTTCCCGCCCAACACCTCCTTCATAACTACCTCCTCCGTAGTTGCTTGAAGTACCACCCCAGCCATACCCTCCTGCAGAAGTACCTCCTCCGTAGTTACTTGAACTACCACTCCAGCCATACCCTCCTGCAAAACCATCATCACAAGAATACTGGTGAGAATGAGTTTCACCGACCGGCTCGGTCTCGACATACACCTCTGCAAGCCGCAACCCGTTGTCAGATAGGAACTGTATCATCATGTTCACCGAGTCATCATCATTTATGACAACTTTTTCGTACATGACTCCGCCAGCACTCATGTTTGGATAGCGGTAGGCAATTTGACCAACTCTCCTTTGCCCGCCCGTACAAGTCCTTTCTGCACAAATGTCATGGAGTTCTTGCCACGAGAATCTCGACTCAATTTTTAGCATAGTGGATTCGCCATTTTCATAGTCGATGCCAATGTTCGAGTTTGTCACCCGACCATTCCATCGAATAATAAGGCGAAACTTCTTAAATTTAACCATGTCTGCAATTTATAATAATTAAGTATAGTATATAATTAGTACATTAGGGATACAAAAACAATATCATCCAAACCCATAAACAAACGCATGTAATTGATCTATCACGAGAAAACTAAGCAAATTCAGCTAACTTCATAACTAACTAATTAACATCTATCATATCATAATTAATCTATTTATATCATAACATTTTTTCCAATAACCGCAATTCACTAAATACAGACATATAATTACTAACACATCAACATGTAAACAATACATAATTATAACATACCGAAGCCCGATCTATCATGAGAAAACTAAACAAATTCATCTAAATTCATAACTAATTAACTAACATCTATCATATCATAATTAATCTAAATATATCATAATATATTTTCCAATAACCGCAATTCACTAAATACAATGAAACGTCCCGACCTTTTTCGAAAATCAAACCACAACTCAAACCCAAAAACCGGTTACTCCGGAGCAACCCAAACCACATTTTGAAATAAACAACTGATATTATTTAAGAACTTTAAACGAAAAGCCCCAACACCTAGGCAAAATCTCAATCTCAACCATTTAAAATGACTTAACACAGAATCTTTGAACCTTGAATCTCCAGTACATAAAATCCTAATCATGAACAAAATAATCAAACTAAATCTAGCTCTAACTCCTTGCTGTTTTCCCTGAGGTCTCGCCCATGCTGGTGCGGCAGCTCGCATCGCCTTGCCTCTTCTCAAAATCCTCATCCGCTAACCCTTCCCCAACCTGGTGAGTGAGAAGGGGTCAGTCTCGTCGTTACTTCCTAAGGTCTTTGACTAAGCAAGCCTTACTAACACATTATTAGAAATTACTTCCTCCTACATGAAAGCCGTTCTCGCTTTCATCCTTAACAACTCATTTCAACTCTAACTCATAGAGGTTCTCAACTTTTATCCTTAAATCATAGAAGTTCTCTACTACTACTTTAACTTATATACTTATTACTAGGGAATCACCGCGTTACGTATCGCCGTCCGGTGTCCCTATCCTCAAGGCAATGGTACTGCGTTACGTATCGCCGTCCAGTCCATGCCCTGTCAACTACTGCGTTACGTATCGCCGTCCAGTAGTGACCCGACCATCTACCGCGTCCAGTAGTGGCCCAACCGCCCGGGGGTTCAATTACCATCAATCATACATCACATAAATAGCACAACGCGTGCCTCCACCCTTATAGGCGGTGGGATGCCTCACACACATAACGCGCATACTATAAAAATTAAATAACATAACTGAATTAAAAAGGCATAAACTAAAAGATCTCGACGGAGATTTTACCCCCTTTACACTCACCTCATTAGCCGACTCTGACCGATCGACACGACTCCTCTTCACTGCCGGTTGATCCACGTCATAACCCGAGATTCCACGCTCAAACTCCTCGCTCTTTAACTCGTTTTGCGCTTCCTCCCTATATCAATTTCCTCTTCCATGTCTCATACCGTCGGCGACAGAACCTCGTAGGAGATCATCTGAAACCCATTCTATAATTAGTACATAAGATAGCCACCCAAATAAATTTGTGAAAGCCCCTTAAACCAGTAGTAAATTCATTCCTAGCTCCCACTGAATTCTTTACGTAAACCACTATATAGATCATGGCCTATGTGTAAACGAATCCCATTTCTTGGCTTTATCCCTTCCTTCACCTCCATTACGTCCTTGACTTAGACATCTATGTCCATTTTGTATAATTCCGATCAATTACCCATGCCTATAACCTCAACATAGAAACTTCAGATTAATTTTGTCTATCCTTTCTGTTCTACAAGCCATTCCTATAGCTTGTTTGTATATATAGCAAAATATACTAACTTCTTCCACCAACCCTCATCTCATCCAAGAAAACAATTACGTCTGATAGCTTTTAGCATCCGAAATGAATATATTAACCTTGTTTACCTTGAGCCTTACATGATTAAGGGTTGCTTTCCACCTAGGCATGATCCACGAGCTAGGAACACCTGTGTATATAATCATACACCTCCAATGAATTCTTGGAGTCCTCCTTCAGCTTGATACCTCGAGCTCCCACAAACGTCGATCCGTTATTCCACCCGCAAGCTTTCCCCTCCAGTCCACTCGTCTACTTGGCGTTCCTGTCCACAAGCGACGTCCCATCTTCCATCCTTCACAGCTTCCTCTCTCCTAGCTTTTCGGCTGCCTGGGATTAGTTTTAGGGTGAGGCACTTGTGTGACCTTTTATCTCCTCTCATGCGATCGTTATATATATATATATATATCTATGAAATGGGTTGGACGAGTATGGGACCGGTTGGGTTAGGTTTAGGGTTTCAAGGGTATTTTGGGAACTTATAACGTTCGTAACTTACTTATTTTATGTCAAAACTCGACACCGTTTGAACTGATAGTTCACATTTTTAATCCTCATCAATGCTACGGTGGAACTTGACAACTTGACCCAAGAGTATAATATTCATTTTTACTTTTTGGAAGAGCGGGGTGTAACAATACAGACATATAATTACTAACACATCAACATGTAAACAATACATAATTATAACATACCGACTCCCGATCTATCATGAGAAAACTAAACAAATTCATCTAAATTCATAACTAATTAACTAACATCTATCATATCATAATTAATCTAAATATATCATAACATATTTTCCAATAACCGCAATTCACTAAATACATACATATAAATTACTAACACATCAACATGTAAACATTACATAATTATAACATACCGAATCCCGACGAGTTTCTTGAGCAGTAAACCAACTCCAAACCAGCTGAGAAAACGACTAATAAAACACTAATTTTTGTACTAATTTTCTGTAAGGTAGCAACATGGGAAGTGGAGGTCAGTATTTATAGGAAAATTATTTAGCAATCACCGCTGAGGACAACGGCGGTGAACACATCACTGTCTTTGTCCAAAGCGGTGATAGCTTGGTAGCTGTGACCTAATTTCCACCTATCATGGCTCTAAAACGTGTCAATTATCACCGTTTTGGTCCATGACGATGATATGATCGCTTTTGTCAACAGCGATGATACGGTCGACTATCACCGTTTTGCAAAAACGCGGGGAACACATCACCGCTTTGGTTGAAAGTGATGATGCTATCATCGCTTTGAACCAAAACAGTGATGCAATCACCGTTTTGGTCAAAAACGGTGATCGTTTTTGTCCAAAACGGTGTTAGCATCACTGTTTTGGTTCAAAGCGATGATGCTATCACTGTTTTGGTAAAAAACGGTGATTGCCATCACTGTTTTGGTTTGCAGCGGTGATGTTCAAACTGCTGTATTTTGGGAAATAAGTTTATAAGTACTGTATTTTGGGAATTTTTTTTTAATAATTAAAGTATTTTGGGATTTTTTCCCGCTGTCGACACTACAACCATGTTCCCTGTCCACAACAATCAACATGGCAAACTGATGTTCAAATGCCAGACCAGAACACGAACAAAATTGGCAGTTCAAAGTTACAATCGCTAACGTTCATCCATCCGTCAAGCTCTAACCACTCTTCAGAGGATCGATCAACTACCAGAAATTAACGAACAACGGTTCAGGGAAGTTACTATATTATCAACAGTTCAGCTCCAATTTCAAAGTCATGGAAACATCGACATTCAGAGAGAGCGGTATGCGGAGGGGAAAAGCCATGTAAATCAATTTCCAACATCCAGACCTTTAAGCCACATTTAAACACACGGGAAAAGCCATGTAAATCAGCAAAGGAAATACCGTGAAAAAGCAATATGAATGTTCAGAAGCAGTCTAAACGGATCTGATCCTGCCATTCAAGCTTTAACTGGCTCATCGTCATCTTCAATATCCCAACTCAAATCCTCTTCTTCTTCCTCTTCTGCAACACTCAGTCTCCTCCTCAACTCCTCCTTGGTTGCATTATTCCCACTCTGACTCACTCTCCTCTCCTCTTTCTTACTATCGTCAATGCCGCTTAGATCCTCAATCTCATCCCACCCAAGATCTTCTTCCTCTCCTGTCGTCTGGTGGCTCGACACTAATGAGTAATCACTGTCTTTACAAGACCCTCCATTGCCACCATTTCCTTCAGAACCTGAATTCTCAGCAGATTTCTCATCCTCCTTCATTTCATCTGCTTTCTCACTAGATGCCACATTACCACAAGCAGTTGCAGAATTTGGACTGTTTACTACTTTCGGCTCTACAACTGTTGCAGCAGCAGCAGCAGCAGCAGAAACAGTTACCTCCTTAGCATTTTGCACAATTTCCTTAGACTTTTCATCACCCATTTTCTTATCCTCAACAGGGTTCTGCTCTACCAGCTTAATCGCATCCGATTTCCCAATTTCCATAGAATAATCTCTGGTCTTCAGCTCTTGATTTTCCTCTACATCGCCCTTTGACTTTTCTTTGCCTTTACTCGCCTTGCTCTTCCGCTCCTCACTTTCATCATCATCGTCGTCATCATCCACATCCCAACTCAAATCCTCTTCTTCAGCAGAAATGGCTCGCTTCACTAGATTGGCTCTCAAAGCCTCGGCTTGCTTGAGCTTATAGATCCTATAGTAATACCTAGCCCAGAACGTTTCTTCATCAACGCTACCAGGCACAACTTTCTTATATATAGCATCCAGCGTACCATTTTCTTCAATCAGGCTCTCGATCTCGTCCCGGTTGTCCTGAAGGGCGAACTCCGACGACCTCCACTTGCCGTAATCTTCCATATCTTCCGGCTCGTCGCAGAAAGTGCTGGCATCACCTTGAATGGCACTGACCTGCGCGTCGAAGCGACTGTACCGCCTCGAATCGTAGCTGCTGCTCTGGCCAGCGGCGCTGCTTCCTCTGACATCGATGTCAGAGGAATCGGATTCGTGGTCAAGGGAGAGGATCGCTTCTTTGCCGTGTGAAATGATCTGGGCGGTGCCTTTAATCACGGAGGTACCGATCTCGTCGAAGGCCTGTCCGACGTTCTCGAGGGATCCCTGGGCGACCTCGATCTCCTTCCGCAGGCCGGTGCTGAATTCCTGGAGATCCCGGCGGTAGGTCTCAATGACGGATTCGGATTTGGTGGTCAGTGTGCGGATCAGGCCGCCAAAGTTACTCCACCCACTGCCGCCGTCGCTAGGGTTGGAGTGCGGCTGTGTTGGTGGAGACTCGGAGTCTGAATCTGAGTTCGATTGGTGTTCAGGGGAAGTTTCGGCGTCGGACGCGGACTTGGGAGGAGGGGGATCGGGTTCGTCGGAAAAGACCGATCTGAAGAAATCCATTAGGGGAAATTGAAATGAAAGACGGGAAGAGCTTGGAGAGGGCGGCCGACGGTGAGTGAGGTAGGAGATAAAAGGGAATCGGTGGCTAATCGGGGATGGATCAAAGAGTAGAAGATACGAGTACGACCTCAAAAGTGACGGTGGATCGTTGGAGTTAGGGTGAACGGCTCTACATCCCATTTGAGAAAAACTTGTTCGATACTCGATTCGTCTTAATCGAGCTGGTTCGCGAACAAAGTCGTTAATTAAACGAGCCGAACTGGAGCCCTATCATGTTTAGCTCGAAGGCTCGCGAACAAGTTCGTTTGACGGCTTGGCATCCGAAAATATTGGAATTCATGGATTTTATGTATTGAAATTGGGACAAATATTGTGTTTTGTTTTGGTAGACTTTACTACAGGTTTGAATGTAATTTTATGCTCAATTCTACTTCAATCTTGAGCTAAAATGAACATTTAATGTGTTGAACTCGATTTTGGGCTCGTGAAACTTATTTGGCGAGCCGACCTCGACCTTTCATTTTATGCTTGCATATTAAAGCTCGTATCAAACACGAGCCGAGCTCGAGCCGAAAATATATTAACGAGCCGAGCCCGAACTATGGCAAAGTTCGGCTCGGATCATTAACAACCCTAGTTGGAGTGCCTGCCTCCAAGCAAAAGCGCTACCAATTTTCAGATCAGACGGGTTTGTTGATGAACTGGTCCATTTTCCCCTGATAACATCCCAAGTTCGCAGGAAGTTGCATTTCTTCAGGAAGAATTTTCAAACCTTCCTTTCGTATTGCTTGGCTTGTGATGATGTCCAAACGGCAACCCCAAGATCCTTTTGGATTGCCTAATTGTTTTCTTGTTTTGCTGGTTGCTTTTGCCTGTTGATGGAGCTTTATGGCTTTCTCAAAGGAAAGATTTCGGGTACACTGTTTATCTGGCCTTTTGGACCGAGTGATTTGGAAGGCCAATGAATTTTCTGTTTGGCACCTTTAGCGGCCGGTTGGATAATCCTCGACAAGGAAGCATTTTGCTTGAGATTATAGAAGCAAGGATTTTGGCATAGTTGTTTTTAATATTTATAGATATTTGGCCGTTTGCGGCTATGTGTTTGTTCATTTTGCAGGTCCAGCTGCTCATATGGCTGCCCATCTTGTGCAAAACAGGCCCTTTCATCGGCAGTTCGACTATTTGTCGACTACCGCACGATTTTATTTTCTGTTCTTTGACTCTGTATTGGCCAGGAATTTACCTGGCTATTGTATATGTTAAAAAAAAAATTGTCAAGCGAAATGGTTCAATGGCTTACATCGGTTGTAAAAAAATATGCAAAGAAGTGGAAAATTATTAACACTAAATAAATTTAGGGTTCAGGTTAGTGCACACCCGGGCATACGCTAAACTTGTCTTAGGCCCATTTTGCTATTTAAATCTTGAATTAGTCAGAGTTTGGGGTATAATACTATATCCTAACATCTAATGAGTGAACCCCAGTCCTTAATTTTTTAACCCAAATTATGAGATTTCTTTAATCTTGAAATAAAAATCAACGTTAATTTCAACGAACAGAATCGTTGATTTTCATTTCAATATTTTTTGGTTTAGTGAATTGAGTATTGGCGTTCAAGTATTAGTGGTTAGGGAATAGTATTATGCTCCAAACTCCGATTAATTTATTGCCTAAATACCAAAACTCAAAGGGCGTACGGTAAAGCCCGGGCGTACGCTTGCCTTTGCCATAAATTTAGGCATATATTTAATATATTTAACATATTTGAAGATAATCTCTCCAAACTTTATATACATATTTAAATAAAAATACAACATTCTTAACAAAATAAAATTTCTTCATATTTAAATACAATATTTAATATCAAAATAAAAATATGTATACTTTTTCTTACACATTGGGTGGTAAGGAAATCTCCCCCTCTCAGCTTCCAGATCCAATAAACAGGAAAAAACCTCCATAGCAACAGCAAACAAATATGGGGAGAGAGGGTCTCCCTGCCTCAAACCTTGTTTTGCAGGGAAGTATCCCACTAAGCCCCCATTAAAAGCAATGCTCAACATAGGACTTGTGACACACATCCTAATCCATTTAATGGACTGAGCAGGTACCCTAATGGCTTCAAGCACAACAAAGAGAAAGTGCCAATTCACAGAATCAAACGCTTTCATAAGATCAATCTTCAATGCTGACCTGGTGGAAATCTTCTTTCTAGAATACTTATGCACTAGCTCATGAGCCAGTAGAATATTCTCCCCAATAACCCTCCCTTTTACAAAAGCAGTCTGGTTTTTACTAATTACTAGGGGCAGGAGGGAACTAAATCTATTTGCCACAATCTTTGATATGCATTTATACATTATATTGCAGCAAGAAATAGGCCTAAAAAACTTCATCTCATTTGGGTTTTGGACCTTAGGAATCAGAGCAAGGATAGTAGCATTTACCTCTCTTGGAATCTTCCCAGTCACAAAACAATTCTGAATGGCACTTGTAATTTCAGCCCCAATAACTCCCCAAGATGCTTGAAAGAATCTAGCATTATATCCATCCGAGCCTGGACTCTTATCTACATTAAAGCTGAACATAATATCTTTTACCTCACTAGCAGTGATATGAGCACAGAGAGAAGATACCTGCTCAGAATTGATCTTGTGCCTGAGCAGACCCTTAAAGAAATCTACTGATTCAATCTCAACATGTGGATTCTCCCTTCCCAGCAGAAGCATATAGAAATGGATAGCCACTTGACACATACCTTCAACAGGAGTGACTGAGTTCCCATGAGCATCCCTAAGAGAAGTTATAGTATTTCTTTTGAGTCTAGCTCTCATAGAGCGATGGAAGTAACCAGAATTTGTGTCTCCAACCTTTAGCCACAACTCTCTAGATTTTTGTCTCAGAAAACTTTCCTCAACTTTAATCAGATCAAACAGTTCCTTGGAAACCCTTACTTCAACCTCAAAACTCATCTGAGAAGGACTCGAAAGGGCAGCCAGTTGAATAGATTCCAGTTCTTTCTCTTTTTCTCTTACTCTCCCCCTTATGTCAGAGAACTCCTCCTTGTTGAGCTTATTAAGCAGACCTTTGAGTATCCTGAGTTTCTTGTAAACCCTCATCAAATGAGAACCTTCCACAACTTCAGTCCAAGTCTGAGCAAGTAACCCCTCATACATTGGATGCTTTAGCCAGAAGTTGAAAATTTTAAATGGCTTAGGCAGTGACTTAAGAGGGAACTCAGTTTGAATATAAACCGGGCAATGATCTGAGACACCAGGAGACTGTGTTTGCACTACACTATGCTCCATCACTTCTAACCAATCCAAATTGACAAAAGCCCTGTCAAGTCTTCAAGCAATGGGGTCATTTTGCCTCTTATTGAGCCATGTAAACCATGGCCTAGTAGATTTGTGCTCATCCACCTCAATTTCCCTTAACCAGTCATTTAGAGACTTCATACTAGCAGAATACTGAGGATTATTTGAGCCTTCACTCGGATCTATGATAGCATTAAAATCTCCAACCAGAATCCAGGGAAAATTAACCACTTTGAATCGATTAACATCAGCATAAAGTCCTTCCCTCTGAATCTCACTTTTAGAAGCATACACAAACGTGGCAAAAAATGGAGCCTTGCCTCCAATTAGAGCATGAGCAAACTGATCAGAGCTGTCTATGATAGTCAACTGAATCTCAGAGCTCCAAACTAACCAAATTTTGCCCAAACCTTCATCATTGAATAAGATTTCCTGTCCCCACCCTGCAAATCCCTTTTGCTTCAACTTCTTTGTCTAGTTACCCGAGGCTCCAAAATAGCAACAATATCTAAACTATATTTATTTATCTTATTTAATATAGCTGTATATTTCTTATCCGCAACAAACCCTCTTGTGTTCCATGAGAGGATCTTCATCTACGACCCTTACCTCTCCCTCCACCTTTCCCCCCTTTCTTTCTGTTATCCCTAACATCTGGAGGATCAATCCAAATCTTCTTACCTTTGTCAGGAGCACTTGGAGGGATTCTATTCTCCTTATCAAGGATGGCAAATCGGGATCCAGTCTGAATAACTCGAGCAGTCATCTGAGGCAACAAGCTCCCCTCAGCAGAAGGTGACTTACTACTAGCAGACAGTTGCATAGGCGTGTTAGGGCTCCCAGCAGCAGCTGATGATCCCTTCACTACCTCAGCAAACTGGCTTGAGCCCCCCCCCCCCTTTGATGAAGGGGAGACCACATCCTCTGTAATTAGACCCTGCACAAGATCCCCCACAGGCGAGGCCTGCCCAATTACCTCATCAACCAAGCTATCCACTACACATTGAATCACAGAATCTTGCATACTCGCTACCCATTCCAACCCTTCCGGAGCAAGATATTCCAGAGGAAGACCCCAGATTCTCACCCAGATGTGCAATATCTCAATCTTAGGAACAATTGGTTGAATACCTGACTTCCATTTGCGAAAGAAGACAGGGTTGCCTCTAAAATGCCATGGCCCTGACTGACTGGAAAACCCAATCGCACGAAGCAGCAGAAGGGAACTGAAACACCAGGAGCTTGGTCCCAAACTTCGATACTCTGACAATGTCATCCCGCCCCCAGAGAGCATTCTGCCAGGATTGCAACTCCGATACTTTTGGCCGAGTCCCAACGAACTGTCCAATAAGAGAGTTCTTCCACCGCTCCGCTCCCTTCTCCTTCACCTCTTTCGATAAACGAAAACCATCTTTAAACTTGATCGGCGGATGATATTGGAGCCGATTTTCCGGAGCAACCTCAAATAGCTGCGCCCAAGAACTGCCCTTGCCAACCGGAGCAGCCGACGGCGAGGCTGACATCGCGAACCCTAGAAAACCAGAAAGAGGGGAGAGGGGAGAAGTGAATAAATCTTAAGAATTCCCGTCACATCTATTAGCAAGTAACTTAATTAATGTTAAGGGGAAGGAAAAAAAACACAAAAAAATAATAATTATTAAAGGATAATGTCTATTTATTTTTTCGTTGAATAATGTCTATTTATTACCCAAACCTTTTTCGAATTCTTTTATTTTAGCCTAATCTATTGAAATACAAAAAAAATTAGCCAAACATTTTGTAACACGTCATTTCTACATTATCGTTGATAATTTTTTAATTCTTTTCTTTGTTCAAATACTAAAATTTTGAAATGTTGACCTCCATGTGTCTCTTTCAAGTTAGTATCTTGTTGACAAGTCAATATTACTATCAAAATTGCTAACCGGATGTTAACATTTGGCTAATTATTAATAATTCAATAGATTTGGCTAATAAAAAATAATCTGAAAAAGATTAAACTAATAAATAGTCATTACCCATAATTAAAAGCATTTTTTCGGCAGAGTAATGTAAAAGGTGAATGAAAAATTGAAAAATCAGCCAAAAACATTAATAATTAAAACATTTTCGGCCAAAACAATGTAAAAGGGGACTGAAAAATTTAAAAATCAATAGTATAGGGGAATCAAACACTCATCCCCGTAGATTAGGGCTGGACAATCGGTTACCGGTTAGCGGTTAACCAACCGGTTACAACCGAAACTGATTGGTTATCCGCTAACCAAAAATCGAGATAACCGAAAGTCGGTCGGTATTCAGAGTGATGACCGAGATAATTTTGGTCTTAGGGCAGCTCGATTAACCGCTACATTATATTCCACACAATTGTTTAAATAATCTTTCTCGGTTTATTATTAATTTGGACAATTCTCGACAAATTTCAATGTAACTTCCAAAATTCTGGAGGGTACCTCCTACATAGCTCCGCCCCTGCCTAATTTAGTGATTTTATGTATGATTAATGCAAACTACCCACTGACCAAGCAAAACAAACGATGTCAAATTGCAACTTTTAAAAGCTAAAAAAAGATGAAGATAAGTTATTTAAGAGGGGCGGATGATTGAAGAAGAGCTTACCTAGCTATCAGAGCACGACATACCACGAACATGTTTATTTTCATGTTGCTCTGCCATGCCATCAGAACAAGGGCGGGTGGAAGTGGTAGCGAATGACATCTGATTTGTCCATAATCCATATCCTCTGTTCTCCTCGTGGATGAAACAATGTTTTCTTTTAACTACCGAATCTTTTCTAAATGATTATAATAATAAGATATGTTTCCCCGTATTTTTGGCCTTATCCAGTGTTGAAGTAAAATGCTTGAATACTCTGCAACCAGAAGTCAACCTTCCTTTTCTAATCTCCACATATATGAATATGAAGGCAGATTGCTTTATTGGGATATTGGTTAGGAACAAGAGTCAACATACAAAGATTAAACGGAACGATTTGAATTCAATTTGAGAGGCCCTTCACAAAATTACAAGCAACAAAATTTCCAGCTTTCAAAAGCTAGTTTATTTGGTGAAAGAACAGAGCACCGATGGCGGCGTTACAGTATGGATCTTCATGTTCTCATGAAGTTGAATCATGTTTTAGTGTTTCTTCAAGAGGAGAGCACGGAGCTGGGCGGCGTCGATCTCTTCGGCAACATTCTCGGGTCGGTAGAAACCGGTGCGCGGGTCAGGAACCCAGCTGCTCTTGCTTGCTTCCCCTGTTTTCTTCCCCATTCCGCTCGTTGCGGCGGTTACAGAAGAAGAGCCTCCCTTCCCTACCGCGGCTTTTCCGGCAGCAGCGGCGGCGGAGAATCCTCTCCCGCCGGTGATTGCCTTTGTGACCGCCGCTGAGATGAGCTTGGCGCTGGAGATGGAGCGAGCCATTGTTGTGTTTCTATTTGCGAAATTGATGAAAGATCGAAGCTTGTTTCTTTCGAGAAACTGGGCTTCTGCGTGCAATGGAAAGAGACTTTGACTTTAAAGAGGGAGGGTTTCTCTTGTTATGTTTTGCGAGTAATGAGGTAAGAGGAGGGTGCGCCATTTTATATAGATGCGGGAAGAGAAGCGCCTGGAAGCTGCTGCTGCTGCTGCTTCCGTGAAGGTGAAGGAGACCGCGTCTACTACGGAAGGAAATATCTGCCTTCTCGCGCTCTTTTGACCACATCAATATATGTGAACCAATAATTAACGAACAAAAACGTCCGATTTGTTATAATGTGCAGGGATTTTTTTTTTTTAAATGGCATTTTAAAATCTGTATGATTTTTCTACCAAAAGGAATTTCATATTGTTAGCAAATATAAGAAAGCAGGAGAAAACCCGACAAAATTGACGTTTGGACCGAACTATATCGAAGCTAATATAATATAATTCGATTATCGATTTCATAAATTTTATAAATATAGAGAATTAAATCAAATTTATATTTAAGTCAGATCAAATTGAATCGAGTAAAATGATAATTCAATTCTATATTCCAACATTTCTTCTACTATTGACTAGCGATTATCATGGTTGCACTTAGGACTGGAAATCAGTACGGTATCGGTATCCTAATACCAAATATCAAAATCCCGAATACCAAATTACATCCTAAAATCAATCTCAATCTCAATCCCTAAATATTTTCGGTATCCCAATTGCTATTGATACACCAATCGGTACTTCGGTATCCCATTCGGTATTATCGAATACAAAATTAATTGAAATTAATAATTAAATATATAAATTAGATTGGATTGTTTAATTTAGGGCAAATAGACTAAGCAAAGAGTCTTGATTTTTCCTAGAGCTAGGATATGGGTAAGGAGAATGGAGTAGATGTGACATCTAAAATTCTTGTCATTGGTAATCTCAAATTTGACGAATTGGAGGCTGAGAGACGACTAATACTAGTGTTTGCTTTTTGGTTTTATGAAAATAGCAAGAGATTAGGTAAGAGACGAGAGTGATTTAAAATGGAAAGTCAAAATTGAGTTGGATGGGAGTTGCTAAGTTGTGAAAGAGTGATGAATGAGCAAAGGTGGTGTGCTATATTTTATTAATTTTTATTTTTTGCTATTTCGGTATATATCAATCCCAATCCCCTAATCTCGAATACCGAATAGCACTCCAAAATGAATCTCATTTCCAATCCATAAAAAATGAGATGGTATTCGATTATATCAAATAGTAATAAATTTGATACGTCATTCGATATATCCCAAATATCACTCTCGTCTCTTACCTTAGGTGCACTTGCACTTGCACTTTTTTTTTTGTTCTGGAAAGTAAAGAAAACAGAAACTGATATCAGCCATATATTACATCAGTAGGACAAGTGGCGGCATATCACGTGATGAGGAAAGACGACCGCGCCTTATTTGCCTGTCCATCATTTCCTTTCCTTTCCTTTCCTTTCCATTCCTTGTCTTGCTTTTTTCATTTTCCTGAATTTCCCATCTCCTTCCCCGCCAGCTGCTGCCTCACATCTTCGGTCTTCCTATGCTAATCAATTAACTCAACTTGATCAGTTGCTAAAAGATTGAAAAGCCAATTTTATATTTACGTGACTCCAATCGTACCAGAAGAAACTTAGTGTACCATATATTCTTGACAAGAAAACCTTGTTTAGATTTTGAATTATTAGAATTGGGGTATGATAATCTACCCTTTACTCTTAATAAGTGAACACTAGGTATTAATTATCTAAATCATAAACTCTATACACCAAGATTTTGTATATAATTTTTTGAATGTATTTCAACAAATCATGACCATCAATTATTGTTTCTAATTAAATTGATCTAAAGTGAGATTTATAAAATTTAGATTTAGATTTAGATTTTAATCTTTAAAGGTTATGGTATATTATTACACACCAAACTCTAGCCAATTCAAAGTCTCTATATATATATGTAGCCATGTTTTTGCACATACATTTATTTGATATATATGTGCTCTTCCTCCCAGTGGCGGAGGGAGAGGGTTAGAGGGTAGGTCTCTGGACCCACCTTGGCTCGAGAAAAAAAATGATAATTACGTATGCTAGTTAATCGGGTATGAAGACCTAGTCTTCACAGACAAAGTTGTTACCACTACAGCTTTTCTACAACGCGTCCTGGCATGGATAACTGTCGTGAGGAATGGCTTGGCCAAAGACAGGCTCGTTCATACGCCTAGTTTGCCCACTAGAATGGAGGTTGAGATCTCATGGAAGCCGCCACCTCCCGAGTGGGTTACTCTCAATTTAAATGGCTCCGTCATTCCTGAGTCGGGTCAAGCTGCAACAGGTGGTCTGATTCGAGATCACACAAGATGTTGCTTTGCATCATTCGCTTGTAACTTGGGTGTTTGTTCTATAACCCGAGCATAATAGAGAGGCGCTGTAGAAGCTCTTCAGCTAGCTTGGGAGCGTGGTTTTTGACAAATTCGGGTAGACCTTGATTCGTAATGTGCGTTTCAGCTGCTTCACAACCCGGATCGCACAGATCACCACCATGCTGCCATCATCGACCGCTTTCAAGATTTACTTGCCCATGATTGGGAAGTTTCTTGCTACCACATTTACAAAGAGGGAAATAAGTGTGCGGATGCTCTAGCTAGCTAGGGTCACTCTCTACCTTTGGGTTTCCATCTTGTTCCAGTTTCAGATCCTATATTATCCTCTTACATCTTGTATGATTGTCAAGGCATTTCTGAGTCTCGTCTTGTTGTGAATGAAAGCTGAGATGCGTCGCATCCATTTATAAAAAAAGTTAAGCAGGTATAAAAAAATAACACATATTTAAATGAGAATGATTGATCTTCAAATACCTGATGTATGATTTATAAGTTGTGTATTGACATATTCAATTTTTATAACAAACTATGTATAAATGGCAATGGTGCATATGATCCATGCAAATTATAGCTAATTTGTAAAAATAATTTTATTTCAATCAGGGGCAGGGAGAGTGTAACGGGTGGCTACTAAGGACAAAATGAGTAAATTAGTATAATAATTAATTGAGAATGAAATTTAGGGCAATTTTGATTGAGAATGGTTGGTTGAGAGATCATGTGTTTAAATCTTGGCAGCCCCATTTGTTAAGCACATGATATTTGGATTTGCGAAATCTTAAACACGTATAAGTTGGTTTTCGTTAGCAGAGAAGTGTTATTGAATAGTAAATAGTATAAGATCTATTATTAAATCTTTCTTAACAGTTCGAGTTATTGATACTAAACGGTCGTGACAAAGAGCAACAGTAGAAATCAAAATTTTTACTAAATAATATTAATTGTTTGGCACATATAGAATAATATCTTGATAGTTTCAAGTTTCAACACATATTCAATTTACCAAATTTTGTAAATATAAAATTATATCATGAATGATTTAAAAGGCTAATAAATTTTTTTATCATATGTATTTTTTTCTAAATGAACCTACAACAAAATCCTGGCTATGCCACTACTTCCTCCTAAATCTGAGGAAAATAAACAGTAATTCTATATTGCAGAGAAATAAAGTTGAAGCCCAAAGTATAAGGGGAAGGAATTCCACAGTCTGAAAAATGGATTAGATGATGTCCAAAATTTATTTCCATCACTGGCGCATTTTAAATTTTTCTTTTTTGTGCCGCAAGTTTCTCACATTCCACTCATTTTACATTTCATGGATTGCAACATTCACAGAATGGGGACTGCAAAATTCAGCGAATGCAAACAATTGGCAAGGCTCGATAGGGAAAAAGCACCAAGTTTCTCATTAAGTAACTTGGAGCCCGAGCTCGGTTTGCAGCTCTACGGCTTCTACTGTTCCCCTTTCATCGTTAACATATCACACCAAATGTTTTATAGTCGATAACACCTAGTCCAGGCATATGGGACGGGGGGTCGAATGTACAAAGTAGGGTTGCTTTGAACTAGAGCTCATCTTTTGCCGGTGCTGGAAGTTCATCCCAATAGTAGGGGAACTTCAGCCTTGCTGCAGTATGTGGCATGAACCAATCTTCGTATATGAACCTGGATACAAAAGAACAAGAACAAGATTAATAGCCAAACACATTTCAAATGCTAATCTAATTTGATTGTCTTTGAATCAAGGGTGCACATCAGGTATAGATAAATCCAGAAATAACAAGGCATACAGGTTCGCGACTACCGCTAGAAGTTTGCTACTTTGCTCTGGCTGTCAGCAAAGTTACGATTGAAAGACAGATTCGAGATCCTACAAAGCATTACCTATTCAGCTACATTTTCCTGTAATAATTATGTTCAGGAAGTTTCTATTATTTAGGAAGTATGATCATAAGAGAGAATTCAGAGACCTCAGCGACCGTCACCTAATTCTCTTGGGAGCCAAGAACAAAAGTCAGAAGCTAGCTACTGCAGCTCCAAGTCCACATCAAGCATAATAGATCCAACCCATTAGCGGTTATCTTACCTAGAGATGGATGAATGTAGCGCTGAAGGCAATGCTACAAACATGAATAACCTTATTCTGATAGACACTAGTACAGAAGGCTTTTTCTTTCCTCTTTGGGCTGATCAAACAACTGAATAACTTGAAGGATAAATCTCATATTAGAATGTCATATTAGAATGTTCCCACTACTTGGTTTCTAGCGTTTGCAAACAAGTGTCTTGTCCACTAGGAGAGAAATGTTGTGACCTTAGCAATAATGTATAAGGATGCACACGCAGATGATTACTTAGTTATAAGTTATAACCTACAACTGAGATCCTATCTTATTTAGGATTTATATCTATACGGTTTATTTCAATAATAACAATCATAGTCTTAAGCATAATTAGGAGGTTTCTTTTATCTAGGAAGTATTATTCAAAGAGTAGGACTACCTCTTGTACCTAGAGCATGACTCTTTCCTACACCTACGAGGCATCCAACAGATTAATCAAGGAACCAAGTTTTGAGAATCGGAGTCGGAGAAGAGTAGCACTCTTTTAAGATTTCTAGTCCGCGTGATATAAAGTTACTAAAGAAAAGGGTGTAACTAATTAAAACTGGAAATGGAAGTAAACCACAGATTAGTACGGAAATGGAAGTAGTGTTTGCATTTTGTGATTTTTCATATGTAAATATTTGCAAGACAGGAGTAGTGTTGCATACACTTTCACTGGTGGACGAGATATTATGACGAGCACTTGCAAATCCTCGTGTTCATTTGTATTCGAGACCTGAAGTAAAATCATGATAAGGTCCATGTAAGAGATGAAAGGTGAGAAGCAAGTTCTGTGCCAAAGGGATCAGAAAGATATAGAAAGACATCCATTTTCGTCCAACAGCATCAGGATAGAGAGGAGCAATAGTAAACAAGAATCAGGGGGATAGTGAGACACTTCCCAGATGACAACATGAAACCCAGACATCTAAAACCATGCACATCTAGCGATCTAGTCAGCCAAGCAAATGCAGACGTATACTGATATATGTATTAGCCCAACTCATGAAGCATAGAGGCCGATTTGAGTCATCAACCACAGTAGATAGTAGAAGATCACTCTAGGGATAATAAGACTTGAAACCCACACATATTCACAAACTTGTCAAATGTTCTTGCAAGACAATCCAGCAACATGATTAATGTCGATAATACGAGGTCAGAAAATCAGAACGTCTTTTGATCGAAAGCACTTCCAAACATTTCATACCTGATGTGCATCATTCACCGGAATATGGAATGTGCTGTTAGGAAAGATCAAATGCTCCTGTGGGTGCCCAGGATGCTTCTGGTGTGAGTTAGAAGCAATATAAAGTTTGCCACTTCCTTTAAGAACAACAAACACCTCTTCACATGAGTGCCTGTGTATGGGAGTGCTTGAGCCTGGAGCAAATGTTTGAAGCCATACTTCAACCTACCGAAATTCACAGAATTAAGTTACCAAATTGTTTGAGATAATAGATGCAGTGAGTTTCCGTAGACCACCCTTAGCTTGTCTACTGGAATCAGTGACGAGAGATTCAGAACTAACTCCTTCCACAGACAAACTAGACTGAGATCAGCCAAGATGTATAAGCAAAAGCTAGCGACTTTATCACCTAGCGGATAGAAATCCAAACAACCCACCCAACATAAGAAACAGGAGAAGCAAACCACTGGCAAAGCAGGTGAATACCTCGTTCATCCCATGCTGGACAGAACCAGCAACAGTTATATGGGAAAGACCTGCCCTCCCATAATTATCCTGAGGAAGCTCACTGATATTTCGCACAAGTGGCAATCCTGTGATAGAGGAAAGATTGAAGTATCAAACAAATGAGTATATAGTTTAGCTGTTTAGGTGCAGTGAAATACACTATAATACCTAGTTTACAAGAAATGCTAAGAAGGAATTTATCTTGATGCGCTAAACCTGTCATGCCAGCCCAACCTCTTCGCAATCAACTAACGGTACTTACCAGAACGACAGGGTAGAAACTAGGGCATTTCCGTGGAATAAGAACTACTGCACCAAAAAGCAGTTTGGGAAATGGCGTAATAGAAGAAACAGGCGCAAGAAAGAACCAAGTTTGATGAACTTTTAGATGGCGGAAGAGGGAAAGTATTATTACCGTTGGTGGAGAATTGCGAAGCCGGTGCTGCGGCTATGGCTAAAAAGCTCGAGAAGCAGAGTACGAGTTGAAATGGCAGCATTTTCACTCGGTCGCTCGCTGTTTCCACAACCTTCTTCCGCTGCTGCCGCCTGATCTAGGATGACAATGGGCGGTTTGCTGATTTCTCTAAACCATCCCATCACATGTCCAAATACCTAAAATCATACTCGCCTCGTATTTATGGCCAGGATTTGCAACTCATCTTAGTACTCGAAGTTTTTTAGTATCCATAAACCATAATGATACCCGCCGTGTATATCAATATTAACGTCATCCAAAAAAAAAAAAAAAAAAAATCTACACATAATATAATACGCCGATGGGAAAAACGGGAGCCCCATTTCAAATTTCCTGCAACGAGAGTGAAAGTAGGAAGGACATTTTGGTCTTCACAATACAATTTTTTTTTTCATTAAAAAGACACGTACTGGGATTCGAACCATGACAATTTTAAAGAAAATCAAGGATAATAACCAATCACACTAAGCACATTTGTTATATCTTTTTAAATTAAAAACATATAATAGCAGGGAGGAAAAAACCCTTCCCCCATTTCAAATTCCCTACTCCATGAGCGTTTGTAGGAAGGGTAGAATAGGGAGTGTCAATTATTTTTCTCTTTCCTCTGTGGAACGGGCCAACTTACCCGTACACATGTGAATTTAAACGGGTCCAGGATTGTCAATTTTTTTTTCTTTAAGCCCTTTTATTTCTCCGTGGTGACAAAATATATATGAAAAGGTAAAAATAATACTCATTTTTATTGTTAAAAATAAAATATTTAACAATAAACTAATGCATGGTATCTAATGGGCTAACCGCCAACCATAAAATAAAAGAGTTGAATGTGCCTGACCTACATGGGATTTGGCCATCAAGTAAAAAAATTGAACATCATTGGTTTGTCATTCTAAAATAAGCTAATTTCTCTGACATAATATATATTATGCTATTATTTTATATCTTAGTGGCTAAAATATAATGTATTTTAAAGTTATTCAATGGTTCAACCTCGGCCAACACAATTAGTCCAATTTTTATCATTTCAAATATATATTTTATAATTATTTGATATCATAATGATCAAATTATAGTATATTTTACAGGGAATCCTTTGGTATTTGTTAGTAAAAAATTAAACATAAAGATCTATTTGGTTATTTTAAACATTATAACGATCCTAAACATTTTCAGTTCCTTTTGAATTTCTATGATTTTATTCCCGAATAAGTGATGTACAAATGGCGAATTGTAGTTGACTCGACTCTACTGTCACTCCAGGAATTGGCCAAGTGAAACCACTTCCTAAAGCGTAGTATAGCGGGTTTGGGTTTAATTATCAACCCGGGTCCTAGATGTGATGACTACTCAGTGAATTCTTGTTATCTAGCAATGAAACTGGAATGCAAGTCTAAACTACCAAACAAACAAAGCAAGTAAACTGTTGTATTCAGGTTAAAGAGGTCACCCGGATATGGTTCCCCCTAGACTGCAGTTAAGCCGGATTGTAATTACCAAGTTCAGTTTCTATGATAGTTATACTGCGGAAGGTTCTTAAACAGCCTGAAGTCTCGACTAAAGGTCTTCAGACCCTCTCAATCTGACTCTCTAGCGGGCGACTAACCTCCACCGGAGTCGACAGATTGAGGCCCTAAGAACAAAACCTCCACTACCGGAGTAAATCCGGTACAGAATAGTGAGTTGGCTCCTCGACTAAAGTCACCAACTCCCTACCTTCAATCAAGGATACTCTATTAACCTAGGCAGATATTCTCATTCTAGGTCAAAGCAGAAACAACAGGAATTTGATCAGGATTCAAGTCATTCAATCATTAAAACCTCAATCGAATATAATCAATCATAGAATCAGTACTTGGGTTCATACAATCAAAGCCTAACATACAAATCTAGGGTTCTCCATACCCAGATGAATGGGAGAACTACTCCATGGAGAAGAAAGCAAAAGCAGAATCAGACACGGAATTCATACTGCGAAGGATGGATTCCTGCTTCTGGACGTTGATTGGCACTTCTCCAAGCCCAAGCTGGCCTCCAATGGTGTTGAAGATCAATCTAGGGCACTTGGGAACTCTTTCTCGTCACTTTCTCTCTCTAGGAACTTATCTCTCTCTCAAAAACTCGAATCCCCTTGAATTGTGGCTGAAACTCTGCTTAAAAGCATCAATGGCCAAAGCACGGTCGAGGGCATGGCCGTGCTTTGCCTGAGCCTGCCCGTGTTTCGGCCAGTGTTTAATTACACGGCCAGCAGTGGGAGGAAACACGGCCGTGCTTCGCGATGTACACGGCCGTGCTTTGCCTGAACACGGCCGTGCTTTGGTGCCCGTGTTTGCAGCTGAATCGGCCAAACTGAATTTGCTCTCGGCATAAAAAGCACGGTCAGCAGTACACGGCCGTGTAATTCCTTGGGCTGCCCGTGTTTTGGCTCCAGCTCACCGAAATGACTTTCGAATGCCCCGAAACTCGTAGTTAGCCTTCCCTTTAACGCCTGGGACCTGAAACATGACAAAATAGCACAACCCGGCGTAAAATAGGCCAAAACACACGACTATGCCCCTCAAACAGATAAGAACTAGGGGCGCAAATATGTGCAATTACATCGTTATCAAATTCCCCCACACTTAACCGTTTGCTTGTCCTCAAGCAAACCAAACTCAAACCAATGCAACTCTCCAGACCTCTATAGCAACAAACAACCCAGATCGTAGGTAGAGGACTTCCTAGATCATTTAGCAACTTACGAGGTCAACCGATGCACAAGTCATCTCATAGCTTCCTCGGCGAGTCGGCATCATGGCAAACAGTGAACCGAGGACAAATGAGTCGTGGATGAAGAGATTCTCAAAAACAAAGGATCATGGACTCACATTTTTCAAGGTGCTCGATTTTCTTTGAAGATGGTTGGAACCCCTTTTTTTTCTGTTTTGCTTGTTTTCTTTTATTTTTCTTTTCTTTTCTTTTCAAGGGTCCCAACCTGCTCTTACCGGCCATGCCAGGAGCGGATGTCTCGAGCCTCGTGCGGGGGAAAGACATGTAAGGAGGCTGGAGGTAGTAGGTGGAAATTGGGAACGGATTCCCGTCTCCCCTTACACACTTTCGCCCTATTCGCACGGGAGACGTTATTTTGAAGCACATTTTCGAGCACCTGTTAAACTCAAAACTTGATACAAGAGTCCATGACAGGTAGAGAATCCACAACACCACACAATTCAAGGGTCCTAAGATCACTAATTCACTCAATCAACCAACTCAATATGAAGAAGAAATGAGACTCCTTAAATGCATCAACATCCTCCATAGTGCTACACTACCTCCCTAGGTTGCATATCACTATAAAGACTGTCAATTCAAAGCATACTGAGCAGGCAATTGCAAGGGACACGTACTTGGAGCCCTCAAATTTAAAAATTTGGACAGTGGACTAGGCTCCAAGCACACAAACAGATCTAATGAAGTCAAAAGATGAACATCCCCCCACACTTAAGCTCGACATTGCCCTCAATGGAGAAGAGGGAAGGGAAAGGGGAACGATGTTACCGGTATGCACGGACTGCAGGAGACTGGAAACGGGCCAGTCGGGGCAAGCACAGCCAAAGGGAAACAAAAGAGCTCAAACACAATATGTTAGGTTCAATGGTCAGCCCAATAAAATATCATCCAAACCAAAAGAAAACAAACCAAACCCAACCGGGTTACAATCCGACGCAAAACACAAGAAAGAAAATCAAACCGAGGTGGGGTTGCCTCCCCACAAGCGCTTCTTTACCGTCGTATTAGCTGGACGCCCATGGTGGATTCTCAGGGCGGTGCAGGAACAGGTGCCTCCAAGAGCGGATCCACTTCGCTCTTGAGGTACAGCTTGAGGTTGTGGCCATGCACCCGACGGATGCGACCACCTCATCAGTCAGCTCGACCTGCCCGTCTGGCAAGATGCAGGCGAGTGAGTACCCAGACGGCCAGGGTGGTCGTGGTGCAGGAGGTGGGACCAGCTCATAGTGGTCTCCACTCTTCTTCCGTGCAGGCTTAGCAACCTGCGGCTTCGGCCGCCACTCCTCCTTGAGCTTTTTGTTCGGAGGCGTGGCCGGATGGAGTGGCGGCGAAGGAATGATAGGAGGGTCCTGAAAAATAGGAGGTGCAGAAGGGTACACGACAGACTCGTGTACCTGATCAGACATAGCATGCACAGGCGTGACAGCAATCTTAGCACAGTGATCAAACTCAGTCACAGAAAAAGTAGCCTGTTCATTCCCAGCACGCAAGATCAGTTTACCATCATGCACATCAATAAGTGCCTTGGCGGTGGCAAGAAATGGCCTACCTAGAATCAAAGGCACATCCACATCCTCATGCACATCAAGAATAACAAAATCAACAGGATATGTGAATGTACCTACTTTAACAAGCAGATCCTCAATGATACCCTTAGGATGCACGATAGAACGATCAGCTAACTGAATGCTCATCCTAGTAGGGCTAAGTTCACCTAGGTCTAGCATTTTATACAACTTATATGGCATGACGTTAATGCTAGCGCCTAGGTCCGCCAAGGACTTTCCTACATGCATGCTGCCAATAGTAAGAGGGATAGTAAAACTCCCTGGATCTTTGCGCTTCTCGGGCAGCTTGTTCTGCAGGATAGCAGAACACTCCTCGCTCAGCATCACTGTCGAGAGATCCCCAAGTTTCTTCTTGTTGGTGCAGATATCTTTCATGAACTTGGCATACTTGGGCATCTTCGACAGTGCCTCCATGAACGGTATGCTGATGTTGAGCTGCTTCAACATTGCCATGAACTTGGCAAACTCAGTCTCCAGCTTGTCCTTGTGTAGGCGAGTGGGGAAGGGAAGCTGGGGTACATGCTCCTTAACCACTGGTTGTGGCTTGGGAGCAGGGGCTTCCTTCTCCACCCGCACTTCTGCATCGTCGGCTGGAAGTGCTGGAGCAGGCAGTGGTTCCTCCTGTCTGGCCGGGACAGGGTCAGCAGATATGGTCTTACCGCTCCTGGTAAAAATGGCATCCAGC